AGCGTCGCAGTCACCGCCTTCAACGTTTTAATGTAACTTCATAATATGAAAAAGAAGCTGAAAAATTTGATTTATAATTTTCGGTATGTGTTTTTGTTACATTTAAGATTACATTTTGCTTTTATTAAGAACAAAAAATTGTTGTTTGAAGATTGCGCTTAGTTAAAATCGTTTTTAATTTCTATAAAAGTTTCTAAATAAGGCATATCATAATAAAAAGTAATATTTTCTCTTTTGTTTATGACATCACAAAAAAAGTAAAAGAAAATATAAGCGTTCGAATTTTGTTTTGGTTTTCAATTTTTTTTTAGATGACATTTCAAAATTGTACTTATATTTACGTATTATGTTCATCAGACTATTAAAATAGTTCGCACTTGATTTACAGAGACGGAATTCACAATGGATTACATACTATTAAATATTACGTGACTGAAAAATGTTAGAGTCAACGAAATGGAAAATCCGTGTCGCGTATTTTCAAAGGATCCTTTGATATGTTATTCAGACGGATACTAAAAAGTTACGGATATGTCCTTCTTATGTGTAAAGGTACTAAAAATTAATAATATTTTCTATACATTGTCTTGTTAAAGAAAAACAAAAAAATAACAGTGGTATTGGACAATGAGTTTGTTGATTTAAATAGTAGAATGAATCCAATAATATTTAAAAATAGAATTATTTTTTATCTTGTTTATGATGGGGAAAACAGTTTATCTATTCTCAAGTTTGTATCGAAAATGACAGTTTGAAGTGTATACGTTTCTTATAACTTTAAATTACTCATATTTTAAATATGTAAACGTATATAATGTACTGTAGCAAGTAAGATATATATAAAAACATCTTAAAATGAGTAACGATCTAAACTAGGTTCATTATGTATGCAAGAGGGTTCGGATGAGGGAGGTATTCTATCTAACGCAGTTCAGGCTCGGTCGTGCTCGAGCGAAGCGATAACACCCTGTACCACAACGACTCTGTTAATATTACCGGAGAAAATACATATAGATATCATAGATATATGTTATACATGGTGTAGCATTAATCTTTTGTGATATCAAATTATTGACAAATAGCTACGTAAACAGTATATCAAAATTTATGTTATCTTAAAGTTTTTTTTTATGCATGTAATTGATTCTAAGATGAGGAGTAGGACAAAGGAGCAAGCGACCACCGGAATACTCCAAAACACCAAATTAAACGCTGGCCGTAGACATCCGTATTTGAAGATGCATTGCCAACATTTAATCGATAGAGAACATAGAATCGAACTCTACCACTATTAGAAGGTTGTAGATTATCTTTAATGGACATAAATGTAATATTATACTACAGAATATCATGAACTTAACTGGCGTAGGTATAAACGATAATGACTAGCGCGGCATCTACGGTAATGGAGGTAATTTGGCGTGTTTTGCCGAGCGCAGGCAATCACGCCTGTCGCTACAATCATTGTCTGCGATAACGCATGCGAAGCTCATACTGTTGCGGGGAAGGGATGCTTTACTTTACGTAACATAAATAACACGATAATGTTACGTTTGAGTTAATTTTAAAACGCTTGAATATGACTATGGAAGTTATAAGTTTTAGTAAATGCCTATACTCTATATTCTTGAAGGCTCCCACAAATTTTTCATATCGTCATATTTTTAATGTAAAGTTTAAAAGGGGTAAAATAAAAATTAAAGCCGTGTAGTTTTGAAACGAATAAGTTTTGATAATGTTGATTTTCATAGGTTTGCAAGTATGTACAATAAATATTTTCCTTGTAACAAAATATATCCGGACGAAAATATGAAGCTTAGTATTTAATCAAACTTAATTTCCTTTGCTTCCGATTTTATTACAAAATACTCTACATAAATAATAATTTTTATTACAAAACAAAAGTACGCTTGCAATCGTATATGTTTTTTGTAGTTTATTCCAGGCTACGTATGGATAAGAGTATTTTTAAGAATAAATTTTCCAATAACATCGAAAGAAAGGCCCAGTGCACGTGACAGGGAATAAACAGTCGTACTGATCCTGATATAAAAGGAAATATCTGCGTTTGACAAATTTTAATATCGCACCAGTTAATCTCTCTTATTGCATGCTATTGGTAATCGTAGAAACGAACGAAGCAATTTTTATTTTTTCCTGTACAATTTTCAAATAGCCAGTTTTTGCTATAGTTATACGATGTGTTTTGGTATAATATGTTTATCGCATCATACGTTAAACATTTTATAATAGACATTGAAACTATACAAACTGATAAATAAAATGTTTCTTAATAAATGGCAATGTTTGGATGGATGAATGGATGTTTATTAGAAGGTATCTCTAGAACAGCTGCATGGATCTCGACAAAACTTGGCATAGATGTATACCATAGGCTGAATAACACATAGGTAAATCATATAAGTTTTATAACTTCTGCGAACCACAGATAGTTTTTCGTATTTCACGCTGAAAAACTCATAACTTATATTTTAAACGTTTATTTAAGCCACAAAATAATCAGAACCAGTCTTTTTATACAAACATCACAACAAATTAACTTCGTCAAGACTTCCGTAATTTAAACGAGGGTACATTTAATATTTCTTGTAAATAAAAAAAATATAAAGTAAACATCGCGTCGCTTACAAAAGACCTCGTAATATTCCCCCGGGTGACATTATTATTCCGAGAGTCGTGCGTCTCGTTGAGATGCGAAAATTTACGCATGAGATTATCTTCATCAATTTGTACAATATTGAAGATAAAATATTTGCATAAGAAGCGGCTTATGTAGCCAAGCCAAGCTCTGAGAGAGCTGCGCAGCTGTTTGTGACCATATTAATATAGTAGAATAAACAAAGCGACAACAAAGCAGTAAGTAATAAAAGTCATTTTTTCATATTATGAAATAAAATTATATAATTTAAATTTGCATACATTTGGTGTGAATGAAATACATCATAAACGAACGCAATTTTAGTATCTACCAAAGCGTGAAATTCAAAATCACTCCTGTGTTCCGTTGAAATATAAAGCCTTTAAAGGTTACATTATTTAATAAAATTGCTTAGATTTACTGAAATATTTTTCAAAAACGATTGTGAAATATCGTAAAAATTCTATATTTTTAATATTCTAATAGCAATTTACTTAATTAATTTATTAAGACACTTAGAAGTTGTAGGATTTATTCGGATTATCTTTTTTGTGTTTAAGAACTTATCAATATACAAAAACAATCTTACATAACATGTTTATGTCTTGTTTAATTAAATTATTATTATAACGTAAACTTTGTTAACGTAATTATTGTGTGCCTGAGTTTGGATGTTGGAGAGGGCGACGAGCGACACGTAATCGCATTACAGTCAAACTGAGAATGAATAATGTATGGTATACGACTTCGCAACACTCTCCTTGAGTTGTACGAAATTACTTAACTTTGGTCTCTATATAATGCATAATATTTAACTGTTTACGATTTGACTATTAAATATAACCCACTGATTATAGTATTCTGTTTTACCGTTCAAAGTTTTGTTACAATTTAAGTTTTTTTTTTCGTTAAGTAAAAACATTTATTTTAATGTTTTCATTAAGATAATCATATTTAAAACTGAAGTTATAAATAATAAGTAAAGTGTTAAATTATATATGTATCTACTTCTATTCATTATAAAAACAAGAAGCTTGTTTTTTTAAAGACACTTCAGCAGGAATAATACATAAAAAATAATGACAGGAATAAAGTAGAAGAGGGTCACAACAAAGGTTGCCATGGCGTCCACTTGTGCACGCTAATGGAGGCAATTTGCTCGTGTTTTGCCAAGCGAAAGCGATTAGTCTCGTTATAGCGCTATACGAGATAAGGCTGAAGCAAAACATATTTTTATGTAGCAATAAGAAATATGAAAATAACATTATTTTTTTTCACTTTGAATTCGAATTGATTTTTAAATCCAACTTAGTGAGATCTAAGTTATATTCGCTTTGAAGCTTTATAAACGTTAGTATATAAATTGTTTTACATATTTTTGTTCATAAAACATGACTTTTATATAAATTAAACCGGATATTGTGTTCTTCGATAGCAAAGTCGTATTGAACCCAGTAAATATTTGCACGATCCACGATCGTACATTGGATTGGCTTCCGTCCAAAGGTCGAAGGGAACACTTATATGTCGATATGAAATTTCGTTCTATTTTTTTTAAAAGAACGTTTATTCGCTTATATAACACTATACACATGTACACAAAACGGAAATTAAAAATTGACTACAAAGAACTGCAACAATTTTAGCTTCATTCTGTTTAATTTCAAATATTTATTGATTTTATAAGAGAAAAATATAAATACGCATTATTAGAATAGACAAACTGAATATTATTCATATACAACTCTTTGTTTTAGCATAAAATTCCGAAAACATATTTTTTTCTGTGCCATTACTGCAAATTTATACCGGTCTACGGCGATCGTAGCTTTAACTAAGCTCTACGCTTCTGCTACGTCACCTCTACGAGTCAACGCGTCATTAAATTTAGTGAGCTGAGGTAGCTTTTTCAAAGTAAATATGTTTGACGACAAATTCACAGCGTTGGTTGTGACAGTAAGATGAAATTGCCCCTTCTATTTACATAATGAGAATATTTTTATTCTCTCATTTTAAAAGGGACTGAAACGATGTTGATTAAGGACTTTGTTTATTCACAACAAAGTGTTGTTAAGTAGATTACTAAACGTGATTAGTTACCAAAGCTCACAATATTGCTATTGCTAAAAACATTTGGTGTAAGAGATTTTTTTTTATAAATTGAAGTAAAAAATTACTAAAATGTTATAAACAATCTTAAACTTTAATTGTCACTCAGTGATTCTCTAAGTCTAAATTAAGTATGAAGAATAAGAGACTGCTTAAATAAATATTAATGGACTCTGAATACTGTAGGTTAATTGTTAAATTGTGATGCCAAACTAATAATTGAAATTCTTACTTGTACCAGTATCCAGCAAGCCTTGAGGGTCGGTGGCCTCGCTCGCGCCTGATGCCGCCACCAGCAGCGACAGGGCCCACCACAGCAGAAACATGTTTCTGAAATAAAATACATATTATATTTAAAATATAAAAACGGTGTAAACCCATTCAGAGGAATTTAGCATCACCTCTACCTTATGAACTTCTTTTTAAAGCTGTTAAAGTCAGATAAAATATTCTTGTCGACGTCCTAAAAACTAGAAATATATGAGGAGTACTTATAGCTGATGAGCGTGTATTCTATATGACATATAAAAGAAAGGAGATAGTTGTGAAAAATTCTCGTCAAATGGAAAGCCGTAATCTCTTCATTCCTCTATGGTTTATGGTTGTAAGTGTTAAGTGTGTATGAGTGAAAAATATTACTCATTTCGCTTCATTTGCGCGACAACAGCGTTTGGAGGTCGTCTGACCCAAACACGAGCTTAATATTCCTGACCAAAGAACCGTGGCGAATCTAATTATGTAACATTTTCCAACTCATGGGCTACAGAAATTGTGACAAATTACCGTTGACAAATTGTGAACAAAATTCAATTATTACTACAGAATTTGGAAAAGTGTAATAAAATAATAAATGATTATTGTAGTAGTAGTAGTAGTAGTAGCTGTCTTTACAATTTTAATTTTTCTTTTTTTAAAAATAGTAGCATTTTTTTTGTAAATTTACTATTACTTTTACCATTCCAACTAAGCTCTAGGCTATGGTTTACGACAATAGTTCAATGGTGGCATTCGAACCCCCGACCTCGTGATCGGAAATCCGTACTCTTAACCATTGGGCTATTGACGCTTCCAATTAAAATAAAATATTAATTGCTGCGTGTTTCCACTGTCAAAATACTTGTATAAAAACAGTTGACATCCACTTCAGTCACTTTTTAAAAATAGAACGCAATAACCTAAATGTTTCGGTAGTGGAATTTCACGGTAAAATCTTTATTTCAAAGTGTACGGAGATAAAACATTCATTTGTTTCACCGCCAGAGGGCAGGAAAAGTAAGTCACGGATTAAGGTCAAGTCATATTGTGTCACAAAGGTGAAGTAGTCTGATGTAAGATCAACCTCGAGTTATTTATTTTTCTCTTCTATTCTTATATTAAAACTGAATAAAAATATAAAATCTTCTTTAAATAACACACAATTTGCAACATATTTCACTACAATATCCTACTCATTTTTACCGTTGGTTTCTGAGACTAAATTCCCTATATGAAACATATCAGCATTCCAGTCATTGTCTTTGACAAAACAGAGATATCAATATGTTTTAAACAGGGATTTTGTTTTCGGAAACCCACGATTAATCCAAAAATGTTTAATATTATCAATCTATTTTCCAATTGCTGACTTTTTGATTATTTATTTTTATTTTTAGTTTGATGAAAGACTATATATTTTTATTATTAGATTTATTTGATGTATTCAACATATTAATACTGCAATAAAATAATTAGGTAAAAAAGAATTTAAATATTTATAATATATATCACATTCAATTAATGTTAATTTAATAGTAAGTTTCAATGATTAACAATAAACATTGATGATTGATTTATTAAGTTACGTATATAATTTTGTTAACAAAAAATTAAAAAAGAAATAAAAGCTTGTTGCATTAATTTAGCATTCATTTTATATTTCACACTGCAACACAATACTTTCATTGTTGTATATTAATTTCCAGACACTCTGGCAGCGCTTTCATTTCCATTCGAAAGCTTCCTGCAAAGTTTCAACATCGCGTTCTGCGAACGAACGCAGCATTGTTATCGCTCCAACTGACATTAGCTAAGGGAGCCAACAAAGCATCCTTTTGTATATAAGAACTATATAACTTCGCCTGCGAATTAGTTATATAGTTTGAAATTGTTGAGATGGATTAAATAATACTTAAGGTACATGGTTTTTGGGTATTTAAACACATAGTAATATTAATGATAACGGAGTTATGTGTAACTAAGTAGTGATTTAAAATGAAATAAGAGAAGAATATAATTATGTGTCGAAGATCTATAGGAAAAAAAGACATACAGATGAATTGAGAACATCCTCCTTCTTGAAAGAGGTTAAAAATGTAGGGAGATGATGAGGTTTTTATTAGCAATAGTAATGTTATGAAGAATGAAGTATTTAATATAATTGTTTTAAAAAAAATAAGACATAATATAAATCGATAGGACTAAAATAAACATTTTATATAAAAGGAAGTAACATGTTTTTGACAAAAATCTCGAGGCTCTTACAAACGTATTCGGGATAAAGACGTCCCTTTGTGAGGCGCGAGTTGACCTCGCTTTGTACGTGGTATTTAGAGAGACCATCCTTTGCTTTCACCCTGCGGCGACACAATGAATGTTTTATTTCTGGACTCGAAAAAATAGACTAAAAGTCTTTGGAACCAAAGTATGTCTTTATTTAAATTTCCGTTTATATTTCGTGTGTATTTTTTAAAACATTTTAAGAGTTTCTTTTATGGAAATAATAGATTTAAGAAATTTATCCCAGTTTATGAATACTTTATGGACGTTAACCTATATTGCGTTATTCATAAAATCTTTTTGTACAGCTGCTTCAGCACCGGAAACATAATTTTCAACATATCGGTCGTTGTTTGTTCTCTACATATAATATTTTAAATAATAAAGAACCATAATAAATCTAACAAAAGGTAAGATAATTATTTAAAGGAGAAATAACAAGGAAACATTGTGCGGTAAGCCAGTAAGTCAGTCGAGCGAACTCTGTGTGAGTGATGGATGATATTAAATTACTTATAATAAAAGTCTTCGTCTTTTGTTTCGCTTTATAATATTTCCATGTCCCTATTATTACTTTAGCTCTTGAACCCAGAGAAAAAAGTATATAAATATTTACGGCAATAAAAGTATATATTTACCAAAAAAATGGTAGTTACGGATAGTAGCTGCATTGAGCAGAGAGCTAAAAATTAGTATAATATTATATAAATCGAATAAACGAATCGAAATCTATAATCGAATAAAATAAAACCGGTTTCAAAAAATAAGAAAGTTCTTGATTCACTACATATTAGTATTCAAACACATATCGATAAAGTTATTTGTTTGTTTGTAAGAGTTTAGTTATTAACATAACAACACATTTAAATCTTTAAATAAAGCAAAAATAACCTTGCATATACCAAGAATTTTATTTAATAACATAATAGGGAACAAGAAAGTAACGACATAAAATAGAAACATTTCTTCAAAGGTTCTAAGTAACAGCTGTGGGCAATTTTATCCTGATGGACTTTTGTGTTCGCGCAAAAGTTTTACACAAAAGATACTCGTAGAATAGTTTTGACACTTGCGCAAGAAGTTGAACGTTCAAATATAACACATTAATCAAAAAGATCTTTGTTATGATTAAAAATAACATGAATCGTTTAAAAGGGATTATTGTTTTTAATTAAATAGCATAGTACTGAAAACGCTATATTTTATACAACGGATTTGACATTTGACACTAGTATCCTTAAATCAATTGTCAAGATTTATTTGGAATTAACTTATCGGAAGAAAACAACAGACACTTCGTTAATAAACTCTTAAACCTATGATATAAAACTATAACTAACTATAACTATAGTACTTACGTCTTCTGTCTTTTTAGCCGACTTCAAAAAGAAGGAGGTTATCAATTCGTCTGTATTTTTTATATGCGTTACCACGTAACTCCGCCGCTGGTGCTCCGATTTTGAATTTTTTTTTGATCGGAAGGTTTTGCTTGCCGGGCATTTTTTTATTTGTTAGAAATTTTAATGTACAAAAAAATTATTTAATGAGTAATATCAAGCTATTTTATCATGAAATTCAAGAATAAAAAACTGGGGTTCAAGAATAAAAACCAAGATCTTTGTATCAGCGTTCGAAGGTTTTTATTCGAAACTCTTCTCTCAAAGAGGCTATTCTCTAGTTTGCAAACTCGATACGTGGATATAAATATTTATGAAATAGGTGTGAACAAGAAGTATTTTTATCGGAAATGTAAAACAACAAACACCCGTTATAAGGGTCTTGAGACCTGGATAGTTCTAACATTTCCATATTTTCAATACCTGGAAATATAAAAATATTCCCCGGAGAGGAAATATTCTTAAACTGAAAAAATTAAGCATTTTTAAATTAATTCAACGCGCATTTGCTTACTTTATATGTTATTGTATAGTGCGAGGTCTACATCTACATCTCATGACTTTGGTTGTAGGTTCATAGACGATTTTTACTTTTAATATAATTGTTTATCGTGGATTTCCGTAGCCGGAACATCTGTACAATACTTTTTTCTCTGGTTTTTAAAGAGAATGAGTGACATGGCAATCGTTTACGAGTTTTTCAACAATTACCACAGTTCTAATATATTGTAGACTAATACTAAGCCGGCTCGACACCTTTAGTATTATCTGCCCAATTTTAACTGAATGTACGTGTATAGGCAGCAATGCAACAGTTAGTTAAACTGTACAGTTGTCAGTTTCCCTGGAACTGTACAATTAAAACTGAGGTGTGTGGTGGACCAGTTATAAAAGTTATATATACGTCTGCTAGGATATTCATCTGTGTAATAATGACATCATAAACATAATCACTAATTCTGAAATCAATACAGTCCATATCACATGCTTACAAATAGTTTGGATTTGCATAATTATATTGAAACAGCCGGCAGCGCAGTCGCGGGTACATTTTAAATTCATGAACAAATAAACATAAATATGAACAGAGTATCCCACCACATTGCGTTCTAAACAATAGATTTACATATTGCATAATTTGATATCTGTTTGATATGTTACAAAAAAATGCTATTACATTAACCACAAGGGTTAAATAGTAGTTATTGGTTAAAAATAATGTTTTAGAATAAATCATTACCCGTTTGCCCCCTTCTCCTATAAAAAAATGCGTTCCAAAGAATGTAACCTACTTCACCTAATATCCATGTTACTTTAATTGTAGAAGGTGGCAACCGAGGAAGTTATTGAGTTCGATAAATGAGCGAAGTGAATCCATAACGATATAAGGCAAGTAAA